TCCCTCCTCGTCGCCTCCCTCCCTCCCCCTCCCTCCTCTCGCCTCCCCCTCCCCCCCCCCCTTCCACCTCCCTCTCTCCTCCGTCCTTCCTACTCCCTCCTCCCTCAACACTTCATTACCTGGAAAGAGGTCTGATGGATTGTCGGAGAGGTGAACAAGCGAGGAAGTATCTACAAGAGAGCTTCAATTGCTTCTCCTCCTTCGAGGTCCTGCTCCTCCTTCTGCCCCCTCCTCCTTCCTGCTCGCCCTCCCGCCCTTCCCCTCTCCCTATACCTACCACATGTACGGGGATGTCAACCCCAGTCTTCACATTGCCGACGCCTAACTGAACGTTCTGAACTTCCGAAGCTGAGGACAAGCAAGTGAGAAAATTGTCGCTCCTTCGCCTGTTCGCCTCACCTTCCTTCATGCTCCCTTCGCCTCCCGCTGCTGCACCATGAGCGCCCCAACAAGCAAGGAAAGAGACGCAGAGGAGGAGGAGGAGGAGGTGGTGGTGGTGGTGGCGGCGGCGGCGGAGGAGTTCAAAGAAGGAGGCAAGGGGGGGAGAATGGGGCCGAATAGAGGACGGAGAGGACAACCGTTGATCGTCTCAACGCGGATGAGCTGGAGGTTGATGCTCCTGAAGAGGCAGGTGGTCACTTGCTGGCAGACGACAAGGCGGGGCTACTTGACAGGACGGTTCGTCTCCTCCACCATGATCTTCCCGCTCAATGGCTGCGTGACCTGCATGTCCACCGTGACGGCAGAAGCGCAGGAGGAGCCCTCCGGGGGCAGGAGGAGGGAGGACGGTGGTGGAGCGGTAGGAAGGAGGAGCAGGAGGAAGGCGGAAGAGAAGAAGGAAGGGGCAGGAGCAGGAGGAAAGTGGTCAAGGAGACTGGGGAGGATAAAGGGGTGACGAGCAAGTGGGCATCTCACCGGCATGGTTGTGCTGTCAAGACGGCAACGGATGTTGAACGTGTGTCCTTGCTCCCTCGTACCCTGCAGACGATGAGGAAGGGAATAGGATGATGGTTCGAGTGGTGGAGGATGAAGGAGGGAAGGGGCGAGGCGGAGAGAGAAGTTTGAGATGAAGGTGCGTTGATGATAGAGAAGTTGCATGAAGGAGGGTGCAGAAATAGGAATGGAACAGAGCAGGGAGGAGGAGGAGGAGGAGGTGGTGGTGGTGGAGGAGGAGGAGGAGGAGGAGGCGGAGGAGAAGGAGAAGTAGACAACCCGCGACTTCTTGATGTTCTCAGATGACATTGTGAACTCTTTCGGGCTCTTGCTCGGCATGTTCTCCTTAATCTGGGGAGAACGGGGCGGTCAAAGAAGAGCAGGGGCAGGGGCAGGGGCAGGGGCAGGGGCAGGGGCAGGGGCAGGGGCAGGGGCAGGGGCAGGGGCAGGGGCAGGGGCAGGGGCAGGGGCAGGGGCAGGGGCAGGAGGGAACGATCAGTTGGGGCTCACAGGAACTTCGACGATGAACTCGGTTGTCTCCATCAGGTTCTGCCCGAACATGCCGCTCTTGAGCATCTCGACCGTCAGGTTGTACTGCACGGAAATGTAGACGCCATGGTAGGTATCGAGCAGCGGCCGCGTCCCCGTCTGCTGCAACTTGAACTCGAAGGGGATGGCGATCTTCCCTTCCGCCAGCTTCCCCGCCGGCTGCACCTCCTTGCTGAGCGCCATGAGCTGCAAGGGCTTGATGGTGCTGGAGAACGCCTCGAACAGACCGACGGCATTGGCGCTTAGATGCAGGTTGACTATGCCTTCCACCTTGAGCAGGATGCCGTTGTGCGACCAGCTCCCTCCAGTCGTCAGTATCGCCTGTCCTGCTACCACCTCCCCGGGTTGGTAGACCCTGTTGTACCTGCACCCCCCATGAGAGGAGGGCAGAGAAGAAGATGAGGGATGGGAGGAGCAGGAGGATCAGTAGGAGCAGGAGAAGGAGGAGCCAAGAGTTGGAGGAGGGGCAAGACGAGGAGCAGGGGAAACAGGAGCAGGAGGATCAGGAGAAGAACAAAGGGGGGAGGAAGATCGGGATGATGAGGAGGAGGAAGTGTTTTCGTTATCCATCACCTCGACAATCGTATCTCGATCGAGGGGTTGCCCGATCCCTTCCCCATGGGATAACTTCACTCACGCACTGCTGCTCAGTTGCCCTCTGATCGCATCGGAAGGGACGGAGGTCCTTCTGCCAGACCATCCTTGTCACTCCCAGCATGCACATGTCAAATCGCTGCAATCCATAGGATCCCCTTACCCCCTCCTCTCCTCCGCCTGACTTCTGCCAGTGCTATGCTCTGTTATGCCCAAAATGCTTACCATGCAAGTCTCTTACATCCTTCCCCCATCTCTCACAGCCTCTTCTTCATCCTTCTTCTCTTCCTCTCATCTTCTGTGTCGCCTTTGCCCATCGTCCTGCTCTGCCCGCCCGCCCGCCCGCCCGCCTCCTCGTTACTCTCGAATGCCCACAACCATGGCAGCATCATTTAACGAGAACTCGGTTAAAGTGGCAAGCAAAGGGATGAAAAGATGCGATTTTAAGCCATATTTCACTTATTTAAGCGACATCTGGCTAAAAAGTGAAATCGCATTCGGTGACGTGGGAAAGTCCTCCAGCTAAATGATTTTCTCAGTTCCACCAGCCCAGTCGGGCCCGGGCCCGAATATCCTTCCGGACGGCTTTTTAAAAAGTATTTATTGTCCAAACATCTGTGGTACAAATGGTGTATTATTGCTCCAAAAGAATAGTAACCATGTTTTTAATAAAATGTTTTATCTATTACTTACTATAAAGCAGAGGCCAACACAATTATATATTTAGTACTGATGCACTTATAATTTGTCAACAAGAACAGGACCCTTTCATGTAGTTCCGAACTTGCCCTACCCACCCCCGCCCCCCCAGGGGGTCGAGCACCCTGCTGGAGCTAGTACCCCTACAAATACCTAATAGTACCCTCAATTTGAGATCTTTTCAGGTACCCCTACCACCCGTGAAGGTCGATCCACCCCCTATACCTCTGAGAGTTCAACCCTCATCCTGCCCGCATCCCCAGCTTTTGTTGGGCATGGCATAAGTGGAATGGCGGGAACGGAGGAGGAGGAGGAGGCAAAGGGAAAGTGACAAGGGATCGATCTGAACGCTTGACACACTGTAGGATGATGATGACAGTGAGTGGAGTATGAGCCAGTTGAGCAAGAGGAAGACGATGCAGGCAAAGGAGGAGGAGAACGATTCAATCCTACTACAGTGTTTGTGAAGAACACAACAGCCACAGGAGCTGCGTAGGGGTTAGCGTTAAGAATGAAGACAGAGCCAACATCTTTCATGTACTGTGATGACGTAGCTGTACAAGATTGAGATCAACATCACCGCGAAGATCGAAAAACACGACGTGGCTATCAAGCAGCAATCAGAATGACGAGGGTATGATTACGAGGAAATGGGCAAGTAGATGAGGAATGAGGATATCGGGACAAAGGAGTTGAGTATCAAGACACCACCAAGTAGGAGAACAGGAGTGTACGACCAGGGAAGAGGGCAGGCCACCATGGACAGCTGTCGTCCTTCAACAGTGCGTACAGCAAAAACGAACAAACGTACTATCAGATTGGCGAGAGGGAAGAGAATGTTTCAACTGACTCAACCACTCTTGGCTGATGCCCTGACACCTGCATGTCTCAGGTCGATGCGATGAGCAGCCCTGCAGCAGGACCCTCTAGTCCCTCACGGGAGACTGTGGAGCGGGCAGGGCTTTCGAAGCTGCTGATAGAGAGCTTCTACACCAATCGAGCTACAGCAGACAAAGAGAGAAGAACCAGGTGAGAAATCCTCCATGATAATATGCCGTGCGGATGCCTCCTCCTCCCCCTCCACCCCCTCCCCCTCCACCCCCCCCCCCCCTCCTCCTCCTCCTCCTCCTCCCGCCTCCCGCCCCCACCCCTCCTCCTCCTCCTCCTTCTCGCATGCGCGCCCCCATGACTCTCTGGGGACATGAGAGTTGGAAATCTTGTTGACTCGACTCTCACCCTGTTGCACAGGAGGAAGAACCTTGAGAACCAGCTCGATCAGCTGCAGTGCTCGCAGGTTTGACGTGAGTGGAGGAGGTCTAGGAGTAATGGTTGTCATGCGCAGCAAGAGCGAGAGGATGCGATTAAGGAGTTCGGGGAGAATGAGAGCAGATACAGGAGGATTGTTCGGCAGAAAATGTCTATCAATGATTTCCTAACCATCAAGGTTTTTCTGCTCTTACCCCCTTCTCCTCTGTGTTCATTGCTGTTACCTCCTCCCCATGGTTTTCCTCCTCTTCTCCTCCTGGTCCTCCATCTCTTCCCCTCCTCTTCTCCTCTCCTTCCCCGTTCTCTGTTCCCTTTCCTTCCCTCTTTTGCATTCGTGTCCAGTGCTCCATGCTCAATCTTGCCGCAGGTCATCGGGCGAGGAGCGTTCGGGGAAGTGAGGCTGTGCCGTGGGAAAGGAGCCAACGAAGATCTGTACGCTGTCAAGATTCTGAAGAAGAAGGAGATGAGACAGAAAGACCAAGTAGCGCATGTCAGAGCTGAACGGGATCTGATGAGGAGGTTGTGTTGCCTTTGCCTCCTTCCTAGCGACTGACTAGCTCCGACAGTGCAAGTGAGAACGACTGGGTGGTCAAGTTGTTCTATAGCTTCGACGATGAAGAATACCTGTGATGATTCTTCCCATTCTCTTCCGCCTTGCCCTCCGCTCCCCTTTCTTCTCTTCTCTCTTCTACTGCTGCTACTCTCTTCCCTTCCCTTCTTACCTCCCCCTCCCTCACATGATTGTTGTCAGCTACCTCGTCATGCAGTTTTTGCCGGGAGGCGATTTGATGACCCTCCTCCAGCGAGAAGACGTTTTGAGCCATGAGGTCCAGAGCTCCTGCTCCTCCTGCTCCTCCTGCTCCTCCTGCTCCTGCTCCTGCTCCTCCTGCTCCAGCTCCAGCTCCAGCTCCAGCTCCTGCTCCTCATGTTTTCCCTTGAACTTCTCCTTTCTCATATATTTCATCCTTGAAGATCTCTGCTTTCCCTCGTTTTAAGGCTCCTTTGACTGCTCCAACCCTTTTTGGCCCCTCATTATTTCTGCATCAATCTCCTCCTCCTCCTCCTCCTCCTCAGTCTCCTCTACCTCCCTCGCCTCGTTCTCC